TGTGCAGATACTGTACACAGGTAAGCTGAGGTCAAGGGATCGACCCCTGGGATCTGCATCGGCTACTGCCAAAGGTGAAAACTGTTTCACAACAGAAGACAATGGGTGGAAGGCACGGGGGAGGTGGGAGGGCAGACGTCACTCAAACACAGACAGCATGCAAAGCAAAAAATACAAGTCCCCCAAAAAACAGCGAAGACCGAAAAAAATAAAAAATAAAAAAACCAATGATGACAAGATTGTTTCGTCGGAGTTGCACCGACCCATCAGGAGGCTGAACCCTTGACAATCTGCGGAATCTCCGTATTTAATGATTTGGGTCACGAACCCTTTGACCCTTGTTGAAGGCAGACTGTCCCCAAGCGGAACATAGCAGCGGGAAGCAACCATGTGGAGCACCAGGCAACACAGTAGAGGCAACACGGCTGCACAACGCCAAAAACGACTGCAAGGAACGACATGGCACGCAAGGCATGCAGCGCGGCAACCGTGTAGTGAAGCACAAGACAACACAAACAAGGCAACAGCACTGCAGAGACAGGGCGAGCGGACCAGCAGGTCGGCAACCGTGGAGCGGAGCACAAGGCACCAGCAACAAGGCAACTAACCTACAGGGCACACAAGCGGCAAGCACGGAAGGCACGACCAGCGGATGAGCAGTCACGGCAGTGGAGTAGCGAAGCGCAAGGCAACACCAACAACACGGCCACACCGCACAGTGAACACATCAACCTGCAAAGAGCCACATGCGAAGCAAGCGGGACAGGCAGCAGGGCAGCGGCAGAGCGCAGACGAAGACGTCCACACATCCAACACGAAGCAAAGCAGCACATGACCTACTCATATCACGGTTGAACCCCGCAGACTGTTGGTTCCTACCACCCACTGAGCCAGGGAGTCGCTCCGACGAGCATCCGCCATCCCCCATAGGCAACACAGACATCCCGAACCGAGCGGCCCCCCTAAGAGTGCAGTAGGCACTCCGAACGAGGAACCACCGACTGTTTGGCACTACTTAAGGGTGCTCAGTTGGGTACACAAAGAAAATACTTAGAAAAAATCAGAGGGAGGACAGACAACAGGAAAAAGACTGACATACATAAAACTGATTGTGTGTGTGTGTGTGTGTTATATGCATTGCGTGGCTTCTGCGACCGTGTCACAACATGTTGCGTCGAAAGGTGTGCTTATAAACAACACCGGGAAAAAGAATGCTTATAAAGCCCAGCTTTCAAAAGTCGTGAAACGAAAAACGAACAGACCAGTGGTAAGACAAGTACACCAAGACAAACAAAACGGCAAGGCTGAGGTCAAAACACAACACGGTACTTGGATGACACACCGCAAGAAAGAACAAAAAGTGGAGGGCAAGGGGGAGGCGGGGGGGCAGACAAACAGCACTAGGCAGAAGAATGAGGCGGCCGCAACAAGGCAACAAGACAGACAAAAGAACAAACAGCAAAAAAAACAAAGCGAAAAAAACAAAAGATGAAAGATTGTTTCGTCGGAGTTGCACCAACTTATCAGGAGGCTGAACCCTCGACAATCTGCGGAATCCCCGTATTTGATGGTTTGGGTCATGAACCCTTTGACCCTTGTTGAGGGCAGAATGTCCCCAAGAAGAACATAGCAGCGGGCAGCAACCCTGTGAAGCACCAGGCAACACAGTAGAGGCAACACGGCTGCACAACGCCAAAAACGACTGCAAGGAACGACATGGCACGCAGCACGGCAGCCGTGTAGTGAAGCACAAGGCAACACAAGCAAGGCAACAACACTGCAGGGGACCACAGAGCGAGTGAACCAGCAGCTGGGCGACCATGGAGCGGAGCACAAGGCACCAGCAACAAGGCAACCAACCAACATGGCACACAAGCACAGAAGGCACGGCCAACGGATGAGCAGCACGGCAGCGGAGCAGCGAAGCGCAAGGCAACACCAACAACACGGCCACACTGCACAGCGAACACATCAACCTGCAAAGAACCACACTCGAAGCAAGCGGGACAGGCAGCAGGGCAGCGGCGGAGCGCAGACGAGGACATCCACACATCCAACACGAAGCAAAGCAGCACATGACCTACTCACATCACGATAGAACCCCGCAGACTGTTGGTTCCCACCACCCACTGAGCCAGGGAGTCACTCCGACGAATATCTGTCATCACCAACAGGCAACACAGACGTCCCAAACCGAGCAGCCCCCATAAGAGTGCAGTAGGCACTTCAAACGAGGAACCACCGACTGTTTGGCACTACTTAAGGGTGCTCAGTTGGGCACTTAAAAAAATCAAGGGGAGAACATACAACAGAAAAAAGACCGACAGACATAAAATGATAAAACTGTGTGTGTGTGTGTGTGTGTGTGTGTGTGTGTGTGTGTGTGTGTGTGTGTGTGTATGTGTTGTGGACCTTGTGGTGTGTGTTGAGAACCGTCATAAGAGAGAGAGAGAGAGAGAGAGAGAGAGAGAGAGAGAGAGTGAGAGAGAGAGAGAGAGAGAGAGAGAGAGAGAGAGAGAAGTGAAAAGAAGACGATAAAAACTGAAAAGCTTGTTTGTTGCTGCGTGTGTGTTTGTGCTCGTAGGATGGTAGTGAAACATCAGTCTTTCCTGGGACTAAGTCTGACCAACTGCTTGATTCCCAAGGTGGAATTCCTGGTTAACGATATGGGACGAAGCGTCAAGGAACTCGTCAAGTTTCCCCACTACTTAAGCTACAGCTTAGAGAACAGAATCCGATCTCGGTTCGAGATTACCAGAATGCTCGGTGTGAACCTGCCTCTTGCGACCATGATGATCAGCAGGGACGACAACTTTTGGAACGCCTGCATCAAGAAGAAAAAGCAGCAGTGTGAACTGCATGCCGAGCTCTGGCTAAAGAGCCAAGGTGGTGACGATGGCAGTCGCGCCTCTGATGGTGGCAGCGGCGGCAACAGCAGCGGGAGGGACGGGAGCAGTGAACAGAGCAGGGGGAAAGGGAATGAGCAATCATAAGAGCTCCTGTCTGCCGAGTCGGTGGAAATCTGGCAGGGCAGTGCCACAGAGGCCCATCTCGTTCCTCTGACGTCAGGTCACATCATCGTGGTAGATTGATTTTCTATCCTGAGCACGTTTCCGTGAAAGAGTGGGCTCTTCTCATAAGCTCTTCCAGTGTCCAAGAAATCGGGGGACGGTTGCATGGACAAGGGTATGAACGAACACACACTTATTTGTGATTACGAAATGTCTAACAGACTCTAACCTGAGATAATGACATTTGTTGACGGAATCGCATCAATCTCTGTGAGCGATCAACAACACCGCACGTCGTGCAAGATGTCTGTGCAAAAGGAGATCAAACGTCCGGCGGACTCTGTTCGACACAGTCTTCTCCTTTCTTGACGAGACTCAGGGGAGGGAAGAGGATGGGATGAAGATACGAGTTTACAACTTTACTGTCTGGATATCAACCAGGTATCTGCGGCTTTTTTTTTTTTTTTAGGTGCGGCTAGGTTTTTTAACCTCCCCCCTGGTCCTGTCCTTGGATCCGCGTCGCAGATTGAGAATGAAGAATTCTGATTTTCTGTAGCTTGGAGGTTTTTTGCCGTTTCGACCAGCGGCATGGTTGTTGGCACATGGTGCGGCTGACAAAGTTGTTGGTTTTTTTTTGTTTGTTTGTTTTTTTGTTTTGGCATCTGGGTTCTGAACTCCAGGTCTGCATTTCAACAGTTTGTGGGTGTAGCAACTGAGCTATGAGCCCGTTGGTATGCTAACGACGAAATTGCTTGATGAATCGGTAGATCCGATACAAAGTGATTGACTGGACATCGAACACGAACCTGATCTGCTCAGCCAGTCAGCAGTGCACAGATTGATCTTCTTCTTCGTCTTCTTCTTCTCCTTCTTCTTCTTCGTCTTCTTCTTCTTTTTTTTTTTTTTTTTTTTTTGCACAGATTGATTTCATCAGACTCATGATCAGAGTGCTGTAAGAAATTTTCTCGTCATGCCGGCCCAGGAATGTAGAACAGTGAATTGCTGAGTGCGTACTCGCTCGCATGCGAAACGCTGATGCGTTCCGCTGAGCCATGAGATTGCATTGTCGCCAGAGATGTCTCCCGAGGTCCGTTTCTCTGACGACCCTGAGCGGCATCACCGACATTCCCTGAGATTCCCATGCAGAGCTGTACCGAGGTCTCACTGCGTACTGGCCGATTTTTCTCCGCAGTGTGTCTGAACTTTCCTCTGAAGATTCTGTGACGCGTTATGTGCCCCAGATGCACCAAGGAGGAGTGACAAGAATGACATCGGTCTTCTAGCCATTTATAGGTCCCGCAGTGTGGGACCAAAGTCGGGACCGGTACAAGTTATGAGTTCTTGTGAAAAAAAACTCGAATTCGACAGGACAAGTGCATGGACTGGGAAAAGCGGGAAAGTCCCAAGTTCCCAGTCCCACAAGCCTCGGGAAGCGAAAAGTGGAATGCCAGGGATTCACAATTGGAGGGACAATTTGGGACTAAAAGTGCAACCGAAGTTCAAAGCCTCGTTCCAAGCGTCGAGCCGAAGCTGTTGGCATTTCCAAGTCGAGCCCAATTGCTTACTATGTCGGCTCGTGATCGTGACGCACTCACAATTGCAACAACCATCACAGCAACAGCATCTGGGTTTCTGCCGCCCTGAAGAGAAGGTGATTGATGGATCGATTGATTAATCGAAATCGATCGATTTATTGATTAATCGAATCGCTCGAGCGATTGATTGATCGATGGATTGAGCGAAACAATCGACGGATTGAGCTGCTGATCGATCAATCAATCGATTGATTCAATTGATTGATTGATTTGATCATATCAATCAATGGATTTGATTGATTTGATTTGATTTGATTTGATTTGAGTGAGTGAGTGAGTGAGTGAGTGAGTGAGTGATTCGAAGAAGAGGAACCTATCTTTCCAAGCCTGGTGGAGACAGGATAGAGTTATTTTACAGGAGACGCATTCTCATGCCCTCTGTCGTCAGCGATCACTGATCTCAGGCAGTCGACCAATCGAGAGGTAGTACGCCCCCAGGCGTCATCAAATCGAGGTAGTAAGCCCCCAGGCGTCATCAAATCGAGGTAGTACGCCCCCGGTGTCATCAAATCAAGGGGGTTGTAAGCCCCCAGGCGTCATCAAATCGAGGTAGTAACCCCCAGGTGTCATTTTATCGAGGTTGTAAGCCCCCGGCGTCATCAAATCAAAGGGGGTTGTAAGCCCCCAGGCGTCATCAAATTAAGGGGGTTGTAAGCCCCAGGCGATTATCCAGTTATTATTCAAGCAACAGAGAAGCAAAGGGTGTGGAATCGATGGGACAACAAGCGGGACAACAAGCGGGACAACAAGTGGGACAACAAGCGACTATTTTTCCCACAGAACAGAGTCTAATTTTCAGAGAGAAGAGGAGGGGGGGGGGGGGCGGTGGAAGGAGTTGGGTTGATCTATGTCTGAGTCATGTTTTGCAATTATTTGCTGCAGAGAAGGATGGGTTATCTGGTTTGCGCCTTTGAATGGAAACGGTGAATCGCAGAACGAGGTGGGGGGGGAGGAAAGTGGGGTTCTATTTCAGAAACCTGTGGGTAGAGAGTGTCTATGGGATGCTGGACCCGGTTTCCAGCAGGTGACGCTCCGCGCTAATACACCGGAGCAAGCGCATTTGAGGGCACTGCAAAGAAGGTCTGCTCATATCAGCCCTCTTAGCAGCCAGCTGGGGTTGTTAAAAAAAAAAAAAAAAAAAAAAAAAAAAAAAAAAAAAAAAAAAAAAAAAAGGAGACACTGTGGGTAGAGCTGTGGGTTGGGTGCTATCATTCTTATGGGATGTCTTGGAGGGGGGAGAGGGTGTTAAACCACCACTGCATTTGGTCCTAAATCAGGGGCCCTGGTAGGACTGGATCGCGGCAGGGGTGGGGTTGTGCCAGAGGTACCCTTCCTGCCCGGGAGTCTGCACATTTTGTGTACCAGCAGTGATTATACCACCAGTCCCTTTCTCAGCTATTTTCCCCCAAAGCGGAGGTTACAAGGGCTGACCTGACCGCTACCGTATTGAAAAGGCTGTGGCCGGCGGGCGCCAGGCAAAATATGTTGTTGTTGTTGTTTTGTTTTGTCTTTTTCCGAGGTTTTTTTTTTTTTTTTTTTTTTTTTTGGGAGAGGCAGATATCCGGTCACTGGATCGAGCGGCACCTGGGACTCTGGCAGTTTATTGTGGGAGGAATTGCTGGGCCCAGAGTCCCACTCAGAGACTGTACTCTGGGACCCAGAGTCCCACTCAGTCTGTGACAACCACTCAGAAAGCATCACGCACTTTTAGTCCCACTAGGACTTTTTCGACTGGCTGAATCTGT